GGCATGCTATTTAGGTGGCAGAAAGTATAGAACAATGAAACAGGTTGGCTGTGACAACCAAGAGAGAAGGCAAATTTTAGGACAATGTGCAAGTTTTAACACCTGTGTGGCAGTAATGTTTAATTTAGAAAAGGATTATAGGTGGAAGGATTTTAGTCTTGTAAGGTGTGCTAACGCAGAGAGAATCATGAGATATTGGAGGACACTTCTAGATACACTGGGGAAATTTGGGTCTATATCAAAGAAGAGTGGAAATATAGAAATTAAATGGGAGAATTAATAGCATATGAGTAGTGCTTAAAGCAATAGATTTGGGTGAGTTCATCCAGGGGAGAGTATGTAAGGAAACTTCATGAAACCTCTAGGTTTTAGGTGTTCTTGAATAAATTGCTAAGAAGCAGTCAAAGAAATAGGTGGAAACAGAGAGGTCATGATTTCATGAAAGAGAAGAGGTAGAGTGTTTCAAGATGGGAGTCCTCAACAGTACATGTAGTTGCAATTTTATTAGACAGTGTAGTAAAATTTAAAATAAAAAAATTTTAGAGGGCATTGCTAACTTAGTAAGATCAACTGCAGTGAAGTTATAGGAACAGAAAACTAAATGCAGCGGATGGAATCTAGCATAGGTAAAATGTTCTTTGAAGTAATTTGCTTGTAAAAATAGAAAGTAAAACAGGAAATTGCCCAGATTGGTATTAGAGAAGTAAAAAGAGAATGGAAGTGTAGCTTCAAAAGCATCAGTCAGGCTTTAGGTTGTCATCTAAAAAAAAAATAGTAAATGTATATCAAACCCTGATTTGCTGTCTGAGTTTTCAAAAGCATGACTGTTTCTTGCTAGTTCCTCAACTAAATTTTTACAGTGAATAGAGGTGCTGTGTTGACAATATCTTTATATTACCTCTTCTATTAATACATTATGTTATTGCAGTGAACAGTTAATATTCTTTTTGGCTTCTCAGAAGCTGAACTTCTTTTCTATGCATGGAGAATTCTTCTCTTAAACATCTTAGTTGAAGGCAGAGTTCCCTTAAACACTAGAGTGCAAGCACTAGACCAACACTCAGTTCATTGTCTAAAAGGCCACGAACTTTGAGTCAGGAAATAGTGACACAGAAAAAGAAATCACAGCAGAAAAATTTATTTGTGGGTAGTAGTATCTGTGGTCACAAATTCAAGTTTGCAGGAATAGCACTAGGGTTGATATTTGTTATAGTGTTCAGTATCCAATGGCAACTGTGTTGACAGCAGAAAGAGGTATTTGTACCTGTGGATGCTGCAATAATTCTCTATTATAATTTCCAGTCTTTTTTAAGGTACCTCAAAGCCTATTTCTCCTGAACTCTTATTCTTTTAAATCCCCATTTTATTTCTTTTTTTAAATAAAGATTTTATTTATTTATTTGCCAGAGAGAAAGAAAGAGGGAGAGCACAAGCAAGGGGCGGGGCAGGCAGAGGAGCCGGATGTGGGACTCGATCCCAGGACTCTGGGATCATGACCTGAGCTGAAGGCAGATGCTTAACCGATGGAGCCACCCAGGTGTCTCAAATCTCCATTTTATTTCTGCTAAATTAGTGAAACTTGGCTTATCTTACTTGAATCTGATAAGCTTAACTGATCCATTTTTTTTCTATTTCAAATTAATAGACTATTATTTGAGGAATTTTAGGTTTATAGAAAACTGGAGCAGAAAGTACAGAGTTCTCATAACCTCCTCAATACCACCATCCCCACCACAGTCAGCTTTGTTATTAACATGTTGAGTTAGTGTGGTACATTTATTATAATTGAGGAGCTAGTATTGATACACTGGTACTAACTCAAGTTCATAGGTTACATTGAGGTTCAATCTTTGTATTGTACATTCTATGAGTTTTGACAGAGGTATGACATGTATCCAACATTAGAGTGTCATAGAGAGTAGTTTCACTACCCAAAATCCTCTGTACTCCATCTGTTCATTCCTCTCTCCCTTCTCTCAAACCCATCAACCACTGACTGTCTCCTTAGTCTTATCTTTCTTTTCCTGAATGTTATATAGTTGAAATCATATTATATGTAGCATTTTCAGACTACTTTTTCATTAGCAGTATGTATTTAAGGACTGTCTATGTCTTTCCATGGCTTGATAGTTCATTTCTTCATTTTGTTGAATAATATTCCATTGTCTGGATGTACCAGTTTGCTTATCCATTTAATATTGAGGGACATCTTGTTGCTTCCAAGCTTTGACAATTATAACTAAAGCTGCTATGTGCAGGTTTTTGTGCAGATGTAAATTTTAAACTCATTTAAATAAATACCAAGAAGCGTGATTGATAGAACTAATCAAATTTTATATCAGGTAATAAATTAATATATTTCTTTTTTTTTATTCTTATGTTAATCCCCATACATTACATCATTAGTT